TGGACAGGGAGGCCTGACGTGCTGCGGTTAATGGGGTCACAAAGAGTCAGACACGACTGAGTGACTGAACTGAACTGAAGCCAGGAAAATTATGCCATAATTGCCCTAAATCACATGCATTTCCATAAAGTGTACTGAGATACAGCTTGAATTCATTTTTGCTTTGTCATCATCCTTTATAACAGAATGACATTTTAGATTACGTTATCTTTTTTCAGACTAGGATAATATGTTAAAGGGGTCTTCTGTCTTCAATATTTCCTGAGGTATATTAAGATTCTCTGAAAGTATAAAACATTATGCATTCTCATCTTGTTTTTATATTTTCTTGAATTGGTAAGAAAAAGGAAAAGAAATTATTATTTATTAATAATAATAAAATGCAGGATTCCTGATTCAATAGCAGTGAGTCTTTTAGATATTCAATTCAACAAACGTTTATTGATCCTCTCTTTAGTTAAATTTTTTTTCTAGTACATAATCAACTCCTCTTTTTTTAAAAAAAAGATTTTTTTCAATGTGGACTATTTTAAAGTCTTTACTGAATTTTTTACAATATTGCTTCTGTTTTATGTTTTGGTTTTCTGACTAAGAGGCACATGGGATCATACCTCTCTGACTAGGGATCAAACTGGCATCCCCTGTATTGGAAGGCAAAGTCTCAACCACTGGACCACCAGGGAAGTCCCTCAATCATCTTTTAAGTCTTTTTACATAAAGCAAACAAAACAAAGGCCTCCCTCGGGCCTACATACCTATTTAGATTCTATTTAGATACAGTGCTGTGTCTCCTATTCCATTGTGTCAATCAGCTTTTGTGGCATAACAAACCACCTCAAAACTTAGTGGTTAAGACAATAACTATTGATTTAGCTCATGATGATTATGGGGTTGGCAGTTTGGGCTGGATTTCAGAGGGCCACAGGCTGGCTAATTGGTCTAGGGTGGCTTCACTGGGCTAGATGCTTTGCTCCATGGGGTCTCCTTTCCTCTAGTGGGCTAGTCTGGGCCAGCCCACCTGGCTTCTAGACAGGGTTCAGTGACATTTCAGGCAACTCTCCTTTTGATGTTCACTTTTCTGATGGTTTCTCATAGCTCAGTTGGTGAAGAATCCACCTGCAATGCAGGAGACCCTGTTTCAATTCCTGGGTCAGGAAGATCCCTGGAGAAGGGATAGGCTACCCACTCCAGTATTCTTGGGCCTTCCTTGTGGCTCAACTGGTAAAGAATTCATCTTCAGTACGGGATTCAATCTGGGTTCGACCCCTGAGTTGGGAAGATCCCTGGAGTAGGGAAAGGCTACCCACTCCAGTATTCTGGCTTGGAGAATTGCATGGACTATACAGTCCATGAGGTCGCAAAGAGTCGGACATGACTGAGCGACTTTCACTTTCACTTTCTTTTCTTAAAATTTATCCATTCCTTTGTCTATCCATCCATCTATCCATCTGTCTGTCTTTTCTTCCTCTGGGAATCATAAGCCTCCCCTGGTAGTCTCTTTCTGTATTTCCCATTGCAGTTAGTAACAATATCATCCACATTGTTCTCCAGTCTGGAAAGCCTGGGAATCACATGATTTTGTGGATTTTGTCATCACCTGACACATCCACAACTGAGCATCGTTTCCACTCTAGCCCAGCCACTTCATTCTTTCTGGAGCTGTTAGTGAATTGCCCTCCACTCTTGCAGTAGCATATTGGACACCTTCTGACCTGGGGAGGGGGGCTCATCTTCCGGTGTCATATCTTTTTGCCTGTTCATGGGGTTCTCATGACAAGAATACTGGATAGGTTTGTCATTACTTCCTCCATTGGACCATGTTTTGTCAGAATTCTTCACTTTAACCTGTACATCTTGGGTGGCCCTGCATAGCACGACTCATGGCTTCATTGCATTATGCAAGCCGCTTTGCCACGGCAAGGCTATGACCCATGAAGGGGATTATAATTTTAGCTGCTTCTTGTTGAACACTACTTATCAGTCACCATACCAAATGTTTGTGTAGGCTTGTGCATTTAAGCTTCATAAAAACCATATGCTATAGGCATTGCTGTCTCCATTCCATGAAACAGATGAGGGTGATTAAGTCCTTGCCCACAGTCCCACAGTTTAGTGGGTAGAGATGGTTTTTGAATCCAATTTCTTTTGACTCCAAAGCCTGTGCTTAACATTTTGTCAGACTGAGAAACCAGATATACAGGGCCCAGAGAAGTGACTTATCAACATTGTAAAATAGTAAGGGTTCACACAAGAATCTGGATCTCAAATATTCCTTGAAAATTCAGAAAGTATGGTAAATGGTCTAACATTCCAATGGCAGCAGTTGGCTTCAGGGGGATCGTGGCCACCCCGTTTGGAAGGCCAGGCCTTCTGTAGTTAGCCACTGTCTCTGCCATTCCCCACTGCTTTATAACTGGCCCACTTCCTTCATCAACATGGTCTGGTGGGCTCCTGCTGGCATTTGAATTTTTGACTGTTGTTACACTCTTCAGTTCTTTCACCATCAATTGGTCTCTGACTTGACAGAGTTATGTTATTGTAAAATCTTTATCTAGTCTGTCTCACTAGCTCAAGTCCTATAGACTTCACATTTCTGGGTCACCATTTTCTCTTTTTTAAAATAGGGCTATTAATCGTTCTTGCATCATGCAATTACCCCAGGGTTAATAGTGTGAATTAATGCATGTGAAGACTTAGAAGTGTCTGGTACATCTCAGCCCCTAGTAGATGTCAGTTGTGACTGCTATTATTACCATTTTTAATTCATTTATTCAGCATTGGACTGGAAACTGTTCTAGAAATTTTGATATCATTTTAGAACCCACAACAACTTGATGAAGAAAATAATTTCAGCCTTGTTTTTGGGGTGAGGTAGAAAATGAGAGAGGTCAGGACTGCCTTCGTTGTTCAGTTTTCCATATGATGCGTATTTAAGTATATTCTTTTTGTTCAGAGTAAAATGGAATGTATCTCATGAAGAATGGAGCTACATTCCACCCTTGGCTGCAGAGGGGCTCTTTGGAGAATTCAGGTGTTATCAATAACGATTGTTTGGTACATTTTTAGTAGGATATTTAAAATGTAAAAGCTACAGGGAAGTTTATAAAATGTTGAATAGCACTGGAAGTTTTTTGAATTTTCTATTTCCGTACAGAAAAATTTCAAGTTGCTACTGCCAATTTATGAGTGATGGTTTAAAGTGTGGAAACTAATTTTGTTTGGTTTATATATTCACTGTGTCCTTAACAACAAAGATTGCCAATATTGCTGAGCATTCCTTGTGAAGATGGTTAATATAAATTTAAATCTAGATAAGAAAAGTGAAATAGAATATTGAAATAAAAACTGTATATGAGTAAAGTTATTTAAATTTGTTTCTAAAACTGAATAGTCTTCACTTTATTTCCAAACGGCTTTTAAAATATTAGAAGAATAGGTTTTACCCAAGTATTGTTAAAGACCTACTTGGACACACAGACCTACAGATTCACATATGCATGTCTGTATAATTAAAAAATGTTTTTAATTGAAGTAGAGTTGATTTACAATATTGTATTAATTTCTGGTGTACAGCAGAGTGATTTAGTTGTATATTTTCAGATTCTATTGTTGTTCATTACAATATTTAATATGTTCCCTGTGCTATATAGTAGAAGGATATGTAATTTTTTAAATTGAGAAATACTGAAACACACAAAATAAAAATTATCTGCACAAGAAATACATTTAAATGAAAAAAGTTAAAGCTTAATTGAGGTACAATTTACGTGTCATAAATTTCATTCATTTTAAGAGTACAATTCAGTGCTTTTTAGTAAATATACAGAGTTGTGCAGCTATCACCACAATCTGCAGTTCAACATTAGAACATTTACATCAACCTCAATAGACTCCCTCATGCCCGTCTTCTGTCACCCCTCTTCCCTCCCCAGCCTCAGGCAACTACTCATCTACTTTATATAGAGATTTATTTTACCTGTAGATTTATTTTTTCTGGACATTCCTTATAAATGAGATTATACAACATATGGTCTTTTGTATTTAGCTTCTTTCACTTAGCATATGTCCTTTAGGTTCATCCACGTGGGCACAGGGCTTCCCAGGTGGCTCAGGGATAAAGAATCTGCCTGTCAATGCAGGAGATGCAGGTTCGATCCCTGGATCGGGAAGATCCCCTGGAGAAGGAAATGGCAACCCCCTCCAGAATTCTTGCCTAGGAAATTCCATGGTCAGAGGAGCCTGGCGGGCTACAGTCCGTGGGGTCGCAGAGCCCGACAGGACTTAGCGACTAAACAACAATGATGTTGGCACAGGCGTCAGAAAGCTTATTTCCTCTTTGTTGCATAATAGTGTTCCATTGTGTGGATACACCCAGTTTGTTTTTCCATTGCAATGCCTAAATTGTTAAAAATTACATATTCAAGAGACTGCTAACAGTGGGTGATTCTAGAGAAAGGAGTGAGGAACAAAGGAATAAAGGTGGGAGAATGATGTTTTTCACATTTCCTGTTTTATATGGATTTAAGGGTTTAAATTCAGGATTATTCTTCATTTATTAAAGTAAGGAATATCTTCCTCCAGCAATGTGTATTAAATAAGAAATGAAATCTGATCCCAATCCCTGCTTCCTGAAAGCAATCACCATTAATTTATTTTTGCCATCTTTCTACTTTGTATTTACATAGATAGACATATCGGGTTGGCCAAAAAGTTCGTTCGGGCTTCAAAATACAGTGTTTGCCCATTGAATGAACTCTTCAGCCAACCCAATATATCTATCTCCCTGTGTCTCTGTACACCTAAGCAATCATACATTTTATATTTCCACCAAAATGGAAGTACCTTGGTTACCAAAGCGAAGGAACCCCGCCTGGTTGGGTTGTGCGGTATTCATCAATTGACAAGGAAGCAGAGTTCCGAATAGCAGCCCGAGTTTCTCGGCGATTAAGCGGAATGTGATGTGTCTTTTCACCCTTCCGCCATTCTGTATCTTTCCGCAGGCTACCTGGGCTCCACCTGCGAGGAGAAGGTGGACCCGTGCGCCTCGGCCCCCTGCCAGAACAACGGGACCTGCTACGCCGACGGGCTGCACTTCGGCTGCAGCTGCAGCGCGGGCTTCACGGGCCCGGCATGCGGGCAGCTCGTGGATTTCTGTGCGCTCAGCCCCTGCGCCCACGGCACGTGCCGCAGCGTGGGCACCAGCTACAAGTGCCTCTGTGACCCAGGTGGGTACCGTGGCCCGGCTGGGAAGCCCTCTCCTTCCGTTCCCCAATCTCAAAGCCTGTATCTTTTCCCTTGCATCTGAGCACAGGTCGGCCCACTGCAGGGGTTTGCTTGTCCATCCAAGTGGACCCCACTTGTGTGTGTATGTGTGTGGGTGTATGTGTGTGTGTTCAGTCGCTTCAGTTGTGTCCAACCATATGGACTGTAGCCCACCAGGCTCCTCTGTCCATGGGATTCTCCAGGCAAGAATACTGGAATGGGTTGCCCCGACCTCTTCCAGCGGATCTCCCGAACCCAGGGATCCAACCCTCATCTTTTAAGTCCCCTGCATTGGCAGGCAGGTTCTTTACCACTAATGCCACCTGAGAAGTATAACACCCTTTCTTTCTAGACTTCCCTTAGGCAGGCTTTGAAAAATACCCTTTCCTCTTTTCATGAGCATTCCACAGTCATTACAGAAAAAGAAGAAAATATAAGTCAGCAAAATGAAGAAAATGAAAACCAGGCTTAATCTTTTTGTTGTTGTTTAGCCCCTAAGTCATGCCCGACTCTTTTTGAGACCCCATGGACTGATAATGGCTTAATTATTTTGGGCAGTTGACTATAGGTCACTTCAGAGCCTTTCCTGCATTACATATCTTTTATTACTGGGTTCTGAGGTTAATGGAATGTTTTTCATTTTCACGTGCACATGAAGCAGAATGCAGTCCATTCAGCATTTTATCATCATTTAAAATTCTTACTTGGGGCACAGTTCGTGTTAGAGGACTTTCTTGGCTTCCTGTGTAAGTGTTCACAAGTTCCATCGTTTATTTTCTGGATGTCTTCTGCATTTGTATCACTGATTGTTGATTGTGAAACTTTGAGACTGAGAAGTCAGGGTAGCTACTAGTTAAAGTTTGCGCCTGCACAGCCTCCTGGTGTGACCTGAAAAGAATGCACACTGGCAGCTCTGTCTTTCCTCTGATTTATATTCTCCCCACGTCTGCATCCTTGCACGAGCTGGCTCTTTAGAATGTTTCCCAGCGCAGTGATCCCCGCCCCACTTCTCTGGCCCATGTACATGGCTGACCAGTCCCCTGGTTGCCTCCACTCCTGGTCCTGCTGCGCAGTGCCCTCCGCCTGGAGTGCCTGCTCTCCGTCACCCATCTCGCCTGCAAGCTTCCCCTTCTGAGGTTGAATCAGCTTTCCGTCCTCTGAGTTCCCACAATCACCCACGGTATCCCTTTCTTGGTATTTGACGCTCTATATTAATTATCCTTGTATGTTTTTATTAACATATATATGTGGAATCTATATCATGCTTCCCTGGTGGGTAAAGAATCTGCTTGCAATGCAGGAGACACAGGATACGTGGGTTTGATTCCTGGTTCAGGAAGATCCCCTGGAGTAGGAAATGACAACCCTCTCCAGTATTCTTGCCTGGAAAATTCCATGGACAGAGAAGCCTGGTGAGCTACAGTCCATGGGGTTGCTAAAGAGTCGGACACAACTGAGTGACTAAGTAAGCAGGCAGGCATATGTAGAATCTGGAAAAATGGTAGAGATGAACCTATTTCCAGGGTAGGAATAGAGACTCAGATGTAGAGAACGGACATGTGGACACAGTGGGGAGACAGAAGAGTGGGAAGAATTGAGAGCTTAGGATTGACATATATACACTTGTTTAGTTGTTGAGTCTGACTCTTTGCGACCCCATGGACTGTCCATGGCTTCTCTGTCCATGGGATTTCTTAGGCAAGAATACTGGGGTGGGTTGCTGGTTCCTTCTCCGGGGGATCTTCCTGACCCCGGGATCGAACCCGTCTGTGTCAACTGCATTGGCAGACTGGTTGCTTACCGCTGATCCACTGTGGAAGTCCCATACACACTACTATGTGTAAAATAGCTAGCTGGCGGGAACCTGCCGTGTAGTGCAGAGGGCTCAGTTTGGTGTTCTGTGACGACCTAGAGGCGTGTGATAGGGGAAGGGAGGTCCAAGAGGGAGGAGATATATACTTACTTGTAGCTGATTCTCTTCACTGTACAGCAGAAACTAACACATTTTAAAGCAATTATACTCCAGTAAAGAAGACAAAAACCAAACCAAAACAAACAAAAATTATCCTTGAATGTGTTTCTCTCCCCGCTTGGGGATGGGAGTAGAATGAAGTGTATTTTCTTAGTGTCTTTTGTCTAACAATAAGGTACGGTTTAGTGAGCTTAGTCTTGCTCGGCCCTGAGCCGGGTGCTTTACACCTCTGGTCCTTTGATGTGCCCTCCCTGCCAGATGGATGTGGTAGAAGTACGTTTTCACCAAGGTGTGAAATGCCTCATTCCTGATTCAGTCATGTGTTGGTGGCCATTCACCCCCTCAGAGGCTGAGTCCGGGTTCCAACCCAGGTGCCCCGGTTCCCCTGCACTATGCCTGGGCTGGAAGTTTCCATGGGGCACAGCTCCTACTCATCCATCACCCAAGGAGTGAGTGGGAAATACAGTTGAGCCTTTGAAGGGTATTGAAAAGCCTCTTTCATGTAGACTTCTACTTCTCTGGTTTTCTAAACAGTCATGGGATTGATGTTTTGCCAAGGGCTCCGATCCTCTAAAATGTAGAGGGAATGGACCTGGTTAGTCTGCCTGGTAACTGCGTGAGTAGGATTTTCCAGACAAACAGAAGAGAGAGAGGGACAGACAGAAAAAGAAACCATTGCTCGATTTTAAGGAGCTGACTCATGCAGTTGTGAGGACTGGCAGGTTCAAAATGTGGTACAAGCTGGCAGGCTGTCAACTTAGGCAGGATTTCTATGTTACAGTTTTGAGCTCAAATTCCCCCTGCCTCAGTAAACCTCAGTCTTTGCTCCTAAGGCCTTCAACTGATTGGATGAAGACCCCCCCCCACCCCCCTTTCTGGGAGGGTAATGATTTACTCAAAGCCTACTATTGTAAATACTCATTTTATCTAAAAAATACCTTCACAAGAACATCTAGCCTAATGTCTGACCAGACATTTGGGTCCTGTGGCTTAGCTGATCTGACACATGAAATGAACTGTTCCAATAACATTTTGGGATTTTTCATAAACCTCGTGGGCTACCCCAGTGGTGCAGTGGTTAAGGCATCCACCTGCAATGCAGGAGATCCAGGTTTGATCCTTGGGTCAAGACAATAGGAAATGGCAACCCACTCCAGTGTTCTTGCCTCAGAAATCCCATGGACAGAGGCGCCTGGCAGGCTACAGTCCATGGGGTTGCAAAGAGTCAGACACCACTTGATGACTAAACAACAAAACAACATGAGCGTCATGGTGAAGGAGTTTCTGTAGTCTACACATCACAGGGGGATGCTTCTCTGCGAGTATACCCGTCCTCCCCATCAGAGCCGTGTGGAGATGGGAGCCGCTTCCCCTTGGGGGCCAGTGTTCTTCCGTGTGCCTGGCAGGCACGTGTCGTGGTACCTCCAAGGTGAAGGAGGAGGTGTGCGGCACAATGCCCTTATCTGTTTGGAACATGGGGCTCTGGGGCCGCTGGGTGTTTGCAGATGAAGCAAGCTGCCCTTGTGCTGGGGGAATTATCCTTCTCATGTCACGACTCAGGAGCCCGCTGCTCCCAGTTCCCTGGATGTCATGGCACATGGGGTAGTGATAATTCCCCGGGCCAGGATCCAGAGCAGAACCTCAGAGCATCCTCCGCATGGGTCTCCCGAGTCCCCGTTCCCTCCGTGAGCTCCACAGAGAAGATCCCACGTCACAGAACCAGAAGGCGGTTTTGTTTCTCCTCTCCATCTCCTCTGACTTCTGTTCTCAAACATGCTCACCTTGCCCTCATATTTAGTTGGTGTATTTTGAAAACTTGAAGTGGGGATGTAGTTATGTAGAAGTACCTGCTGCCTTTTAGTAATATCTGTCAATGTGTGTGTCGAGGCTTGTGTGCTAAAGTCATGTCAAACTCTTTGTGACCCCATGGACTGTAGTCTGCCAGGCTCCTCTGCCCATGGGTTTTCTCAGGCAAGAATATTGGAGTGGGTTGCCATTTCCTACTCCAGGGGATTTTCCAGACCCAGGGATTGAACACGAGTCTCCTGTGTCTCCTACATTGGCAGGCGCATTCTCTCCACTGCATCAGCTGGGAAGCCCTGTGCAGAGGCTTGAAAGTGAAAAGTGAAAGCAAAGTTGCTCAGTCGTGTTCCACTCTTTGAGACCCTATGGACTGTAGCCCACCAGGCTCCTCCATCCACGGAATTTTCCAGGCAACAGTACTAGAGTAGGTTGTCATTGCCTTCTCCAGGGGATCTTCCTGACCCAGGGGTTGAACCGGATTTTCCGCATTGCAGGCAGATGCTTTACCATCTGAGCCACCGGGGAAGCCCCTGGTGGGAGGCACATGATCCTAAATAGAAAATGTGCTTCCTGGTGTCTCTCTGTCCACACAGGGAGGAGTAGCTGGGGATGGGAGAAAGGACTCATGAGATCCCCCACTTGTTGACTATCCCTGTAGGACTTTACAGGCCATTTCGGGGCCTTGGTGTCCATTTTCACACATAATGTATTAGATGCTCATCAGTTCAGCTGCAGGTCCACAGACTGAATCTGGAACAAGTTGCTGATCTCACCCTTCTAGCTTTTACTCTTTTTTTTTTTGGTTGTTGTTGTTGTTTACTTATTTATTTGGCTGCTTCAAGTCTTAGTTGCAGGATCTTTGGTCTTCAGTGCAGCATGCAGGATCTTTAGTCGCAGCATGTGAATTCTTAGTTGCAGTATGTGGGATCTAGTTCCCAGGGATTGAGCCCGTGCCCCCTGTGTTATCGAAAGAGTGAGGGGTCCGGCTGCTTGCTGCTCAAAAGTCAATAAGCAGGCCAGGTTGGTGGGAAGGGAATTTGGCTTTATTTCAAATGTCGACAGTTGGTGGGGGAGTGGGTGGTGGACGTCTGTCCAAAGGTCAACCCCCCACCACTGGCAGCCAGTGGGATAAGATCTTTTAGAGACAAAGTTGGGGAATACTACATGCAGAAACAACAGCCAGCTCTG